AGTGGCAAAAAATTCTGCATTTTTAGACATTTTTTGAACAAAGATAACAGAGTTCTGTTTTGACCTCCAGTCAATTTAACTATTTCCACATATCATTTACATGACCAGGATCACAATGTGCATGGTCAGAATGACCCAAAACATGATGAAATAACCTTTTCAGCCCTTTGAAAATGTGACTGAAAAATAGCTAAAAGTAAGAGCTAGGGAAGGTCACTGAACAGAATCTTTTTAATTTTTCAGAAAATGTGCCCAATATAATGCTCTAACTATTACTTTTACATTTGCGATTGTTATTTTACATTTTTTAATATAACTCAAAAAGTAGTAGAGCGATTTTGTTCATACTTTATATGTGAATACTGAAGCATGGAACACTGTCTTAGACACTTTGGGTAGAAGGCGGCCATTTTAAAAAATGGCCACCATTTTTACGTTTTTTTACTATAACTTGAAAAGTAGTGGAGCGATTTTGTTCATATTTGATATGTGAATACTTATGAGCCTTGCACATTGTCTCATGACACTTCGCATAGTAGGCGGCCATTTTAAAAAATGGCTGTCATTTTCATTATAACTATAACTCGAAAAGTATTGGAGCAATTTTGTTCATATTTGATATGTGAATATTTTAAGCATGGCACATTGTCTAATAAAACTTTGGGGAGTAGTCGGCCATTTTGAAAAATGGCCACCATTTTTATACGTGATATTTTACATTTTTTATTATAATTCAAAAAATTATAGAGCGATTTTGTTCATATTTGATATGTGAATACTCTTAAGGATTGCATACTGTCTTATGACATTATTGGTAGTAGGCGGCCATTTTAGAAAAATTTATATGTGGCTACCTAAAAGCATATTACTTCTTCTGATGACAACTTGGCTAGTGCGCAACCATTTTGATAATGGTGGCCTTTGTTATGGGTGTTATTTTATGATATTTGCCATATATTTTGTTTGTAAAAATGCCAGCCATTTCTGTTCGATGGGATTCGCTACGCTTTGGCGTTGCCGTTGTTCTGGTTTATATTTTGAAAAATATAATAATTTTAGTAAAAATAACTCTTATATTTTGGCAAAAACTTTGTAATACACTGTAAAAGTAGATGATAGTCTCGTAAGAAATCTTATGCTTATCAAATGGCTTATCCCATATTATAGTTGTATAGCACTGCTTTACTTTTGCTTGAAAAAGTCCTTCATTGTTGTTTGTTTCTTGGCACTTTTAGCATTAGCAATATTTGAGTAGATATCCTCTTCAAGTAGAAAGAATTTTTCATGAGTGTTAATTCGAGATGATGTATAATCATTCAAAATATCAAGGGCATTCAGGATGTCAGATATATGCCTTTTTTGGAGACATTTTAGTGATAGGATATTACGAAGTTGAATTTTTTCTCTTTCTCAAGATACAGTCTTGTCTGCAAATATCGTCTGTGTTGTCTTTGTGATTATAAAACACTGAATGAATCTTAGCTATCATAACAGACACATGGGATATACAACAGTTCAGACCTGTTCATAATCCAAATAAAAAAAAAACATCCAGTTAATTTACAAGGATAAACCAATTACCTCCCAGATTCTTACCTTTCTCTTAATCCAAATCAAAAACATCCAGGTAATTTCCAATAATGATAAATCAGTTATCTTCTTGATTCACACCTTTCTCTTAATCCAAACATAAAACATTCAGTTCTTTTCTAATAGGATAAACCAATTAACTCCTGTATTCACACCTTTCCAAAACATCCTGTTGTTTTCCACAATTAGGGATGTCACTGAGACTTAAATAAGTTTGTTAGGACACTATTTGTTCTTTAATTACATTGAAGATGTAAAGATAAATAACAACTATAACATTGACTCAATATGGCTTAAATTGAAATGTCCAGACATTTGATTTCTGATAAAAATGTTCAGATTAGACAAATCACCGTTTGAAATCTGGTTGTTTACTGTTCAAATTAGGAGGTGTTCAGATTTCAAGTTTTTTTAACATGGGAGTCAATGGGGGGAAAAAATGGGACTGAAAAAAAGTGTTCAAATTGGAATGTGATCGGTTTAGCCAGGTGTTCAGATATACAGGTTCTACTATTTATCCTTTGTTGCCCGTAAGAATCCCAGAAAACTATATTTGAGAAAAGTTAAATGCTATTTAAAAGAGTGTTTAAACCTCCAGGGAACATCCTTAACAATCTCAACACAAGTAAGATTATTTGAATTTTATATTTCTAACAAACAACAGGCAAAAGGCAGAATGGTGATAGTCATCACATGACCTTCATTTATATAAGGGAGCACATCAAAAGTTCAATGTAGGATTATTAACTGTATTTGCAGTTAATCTATGACCCCCTCCCCCCTCATAACTGAGTTTGAGAAATGTTGATATGCGTTTTTTTGAAAGGAGTGGTATCGATATGGAGAACTTTTTGAACACACGTTTCTCTTAAACCAGTCATACAAAAAAATTAAAAAATTTAACACATCACCAATTTAATGGTCATCTTTTGAATGGTAACAATATAATTTGAAAATATATATACTTTCATCTATATTGTTTTAGAAAACACATCAAACACTTGTTTTTTTCTTGGTATCATGTTTCCAGAGTGAAATGAAACATCTTTCCGAACCTCATTGGAACAAAACGACTTAAAAACAACAGGTATAGGTCTCTCAATATTGTAATTGTACAAAGGAGATTTTGGTTGATTTTAAAAAAGTATCTTGTTAACACAGGCTGGTATCGAAAGATTTGTCCGCTGTGACGGAGCATGCTATTTTTCATAAAAACACTGAGAATGCTTCACGATTTATTTTTTAACTCATATGTTTCGTTATATCAAATAAAATTACTTACTCCATGCAATGGATATATCATTTGCGGGTAACCGTCACTTCTGTTTGAAGTCCAATAACGCTAGGAGTAAAAGCTATTGAAAACGGCGCCAGAGTATCAGACTCTAAATTGTACCATTTCTTTTTTAACTTTTTAATGGCATGATATTGTGACACGATAATATTAACATATGTTTTCAGCATAACTCTGAATGTATTAATGAGATATTAATGCATTGGGTCTTTTTAATTTTTTTTATAAAAAATAATGTCAATATTCTTTGTCCGCTGTGACGGAGCATTTTCACAGTTCACATTTGCAACTGCTCCGTCACAGCGGACAGAAAAATTAAAAATGATTTTTTATAAAATAATTAAAAAGACCAAATACATCAACATCTCATCTATACCTTCTTAGTTATGCTAAAACCATGTGTAAATATTATTGTGTCACTATATCGTGCCAATAGAAAGTTAAACAAGAAATGGTACATTTTGAAGTATGATACTCCGGCGCCATTTTCAATAGCTTTTCTTCCCAGCGTAATTGAACTTCAAACAGAAGTGAAAGTTACCCGCAAATGATATATCCATTGCATGGAGTAAGTAATTTTCTATGGTATAACGAAACATATGAGTTAAAAAATAAATCGTGGAGTATTCTTAGTGTTCTTATGAAAAATAGCATGCTCCGTCACAGCGGACAAATATTTCGATACCAGCCCGTGGTTAATGAAATAAACGTTTTTTCTTGATTTTTATCTATTTTGGGGAGATTTTGTTTTAATTTTTTGAATACTTTTTTAAAATCAACCAAAAATTCCTTTGTATAACTAATATTGGGAGGTCTAAAAACATGTTGTTTATGCTATTTTGTTCCAACAAGGTTCGGAAAGACATTTTATTTCATTCTCAAGAACTGGTAGAAAGAAGCAAAAACAATTGCACTAAAAAAACAATAAATGTTAACAAAAACAGTTATATAAAATATTTCTAAATAATTTTCGCATTAAATTGTTGTCAATCAGTCAACATTACATAAAATACCGTGTTTTTTATCAGAATGTTTTAAATGATTGGTTTAAGAGAAAAACATTGTTGAATTCAGTTCTCCATATCGATACCACTCCTTTACACTATATCTAACATAATATGTAATACAGTCATTTTGCATAATTTCAAATCTGTATTTTTGAACAGTTAAAATACAGAGACTGTCTTGGAAGAAGGTTACAGTAGCCATAGAGGTAATATGCACTGGTCAGCAGTAGTATTACAGAACTACGAGTCATTTGAATGAAAAAATTAATATGAAAGGCATTTGGATACATGCCTTGAAAAAATCAGTAATCTGATGATCTGATCGTCTAACAGTCCCACTTTCTTGATTCAGTAATAAATCCAATTTTGTATCATCATTTTTGTAGTCGGACCACATTTTAGCTTTTGTTAATGATCTTGTGGCTTGGTTCGGAGTTTTTTGATTTTAACCACAACCCATTTACAAACTTCTCGCATTTATTACTGAGTTAAGATTTAAATCGTTTTGATTTCAAGTTTTCTTAAATTTTTCATACCAGAAGTGTACTGGATGAAAACTGTAATGACTGAGGTGTTCATCTATCTGTCTTCCTGTTAGCTATATTGGCACATATTTTTGTGTGTCAATCTTGTTAACATTTCCATCTTGTAGATAAACAGCATAAATTGATGATTGAATGACATTTTATTTATTTATGAATAAATATAAAATGAAGTACACATTCAGAATTACTTAAGCATTTACTGTTAAATGTGGTAGATGATTTAACTCGTAGGATGGAAAGTGTATATTTCACGCGGTCCTAACTTCGACCGTTAATTTGAATTTTTGACCTACCAGATGCTTGAAAATTAAGGATTGCGAGTAAGTCTCATACTGCACCATTTTTCTTCAAACCTATACCATTAAAAGCAAAACAAAATTGTCTTTCTGTCTGTGCATTGCTTTATTGTAAAGAGTCCCTCGTTCTAGCAGCGTTTTGGTCCCCAGCTGTTAGAAGGCCTTCTTACAGCTGGGGACCAAAATGCCGCTGGAAGTAGGGACTCTGCTTAAGAGAATAATGTACCATCAGAAAGGGATTTTTGTTATGCTTTGAATGGAACAAGTTTGAAGAAAAATGGTGCAGTATGAAACTTGTAATCCTTGATTTTCAAACATCCGGTAGGTCAAAAATTCAAATTAACTGTCGAAGTTAAGACCGCGTGATATTTGATCCCTTATATAATTTGAAAATCCTAATTGAAGTGGTGTTACACTTCATGGACCAAATGTGCTGTTTCTATAGCTTTCTCTGCATTGTCTTTATAGAACATAAAATATCCTTGCACTTGCGCCGCACTAACATCTTCATTCTGAGATTGTACTTTTTGGGCAAATATCCTAGCCTTCTGCAGAGTCTGGTGAGGGTAAAATCTAAGGAACATCTGTTCTAGTTGGTATTCTGTACAGTGGCCTATACACACCTTCATATCAACTCTACCTGGCCTTATGAGTGCTGCATCTAGCCTGAAATATGAATACAGGTGTATATGAATCAACCAAAAAACAAATCTCAAACCTAAAGTCAGATTTGATTTTCTGGGAACTTGAAGATGATGTTGAAAAAGATTTGGTCAAATTGAAGCAAGTTAAAAAAATACTTTTTGTTCTTTTTTTACCTTCAAAGAAGGTCAAGGTCAAATCTTAAATATAAAGCCAGATTTGAACTTCTGAAAACTTTGGTCTTTTTTACTTTTTTGACCTTGAGAAGATTGTTGAAGGTCAAAGCTCATATCTAATGTCTGATTTGAACTTCCGAGATCATGTAAACGATTTTGAAAATATTTGGGCAATTTGAAGCAAGTTCAATAATACTTTTTGACCTTTTTAATCTTCAAAGAAGGTCGTTGAAGGTCAAATCTTAAATATAAAGCCAGATTTGAACTTCTGAAAACTTGTACATGAATCTGAAACAAACAGTTTGGTCTTTTTTACTTTTTTGACCTTGACAAGGTTGTTGAAGGTCAAATCTCGAATCTAAAGTCAGATTTAAACTTCTGAGAACTTGAAGATAATTTTGAAAAAATTGTCATTTTGAAGCAAGTTGAAACAAGGACACACAAGTGTACAACATGTCCCCACCAATGGGAAATACTATAATATATAAATATTTCAACCTGAATGCCTCACACTAATCAGTTGAAGAGAAAACATAGTTCCTCTGGAAACGCATAGAGAAGACTTTACAGACAAGATTTTAGGACAGAAAATGCAAAACAGCTGCCTTAACGAGGCATATAGCCTTTTTATTTTTTCGTGAAGCCACTCAGTAAAATTACGATTTCTCTGCAACTTGATGTCCAATCAACATTATTCAAGTATCTATATGTTCCTGACACGTTTGGGCGTCCGGGAATAACAACGTCTACCCAAAGTTTGTACGGGAAATTAATGTAATTCATGACTGAAATCGGGAAGACAAAATTTGAGATTCACAAACAAACATTGAGTAGAAGTTGTCATTACCGGATGGCAAACGTGTCAGGAACACATACATTTGTAGATACTCGAATGATGTTGATTGGACATCAGGTTGCAGAGAAATCATAATTTTACTCAGTGGCTTCACAAAAATTAAGCAGCATTTTAGGCCACCTTAACATTTACTCATATTGCCCAAAAACTAATCAGATCCAGAATCTCACACTAAGAATCATACCTGAAAATTTGAAATTGATCCGTGAAACAATTTGATTTGACATTGGCAAGACTTTATAAACAAGATTTTAGGATGGAAAATCCAAAATGGCCACCTTAAAATTGACCCAAAATGCAAAAATCTAATCAGTTCAAGGTTCAGGAAAAACCAAAATGGCCATTTACATTTACCCAGAATGCCCAAAACTAATCAGTTCTTGAATTCCATACAAAGAATCATCCCTGAATATACTGTCAAACGGTTTGCCTGGAAATGTATAGATAAGACTTCACTGTAAAGATTTAGAACTGAAAATCCAAAATGGCCACCTTAACATTTACCCACAATGCCCAAAACTTTACAAGTTCCAGATTCTTATGTTAAGAATTTCTTTGTTTAAAATTTGAAATTGATCAATAAAACGATTTGCCTGAAAACACAGAGACAAGGCTTTATAGATTTAGGATGGAAAATCCAAAATGGCCACCTTATTATTTACCCAGAATGCCAAAAAACTAATCAGTTTGAGATTTTTATACTAAGAATCATCCCTGAAATTTGAAATTAATCTATCAAATGGTTCGACTGGAAACATGTAGACAAGACTTTACAGACAAGATTCTAGAACGGAAAATTCAAAATGGCCACCTTAACATTCTCCTAGAATGCCCAAATACTGACAAGTTCTGGATTACAATACAAATAATCATCCCTGAAAGTTTGGAGTGGATCTGTCAATCGCTTCGCCTAAAAATACATAGACTAGACTTTACAGACAAGATTTAAGACAGAAAATACAAAAATGGCCGACCATAAAAAAGCAAAAATAATTTTTTGCTGTTTTTGTAAGAAAATTATTGCATGCAACTATTGTTAACAGTGAGATGGGCTTTTACAGGACACCCGAAACTATTTGTGAAGCTACAAAATAGTTGAATTATGAAACTCAAAAACAGCTTGTAATAATAACTAGAAAAACAGCAACTACACGGAGTAGCAAATCCCACCGAACAAAACATATTTTGCATATTAATGGCCATTTTGAAAATCTCTTCTTCAGGGTAACTTCTTTGTCCCTAAGCATCAGCATATAAAATTTAAACCAAATCCTTTAACTAGTATTTGAGTTATCAAAGATTATGTTTTTTTACGAAAAATGGCCACCATTTTGGTATTAAGCAGCCATTCTAAAAATTTCTTTTTCAGCGAACCAAATCTTTCAACTAGTATTTGAGTTATCAAAGATTACAGTGACCATTTTGAAATTCAGCCGCCATCTTGAAAATTCTTTCATGAACAAACCTACTTTACCCTAGGCATCATCATATAAAATTTAAACCAAAACCGTTCACTGGTATTTGAGTTATCAAAGATTACATTTTTTACCAAAAATGACCGCCATTTTGATATTTAGCAGCCATCTTGAAAAATTCTTCAGCATAGCTCCTTTGTCCCTAGGCATCAGCATATAAAATTTGAACCAAATCAATTCACTATATTATATTTGAGTATAAAAGATTATGTTTTTTACGAAAAACAGCCGTCATTTTGATATTTAGCAGCCATTTTGAAAATCTCTTCTTCAGGGTAGTTCCTTTGTCTCTAGACATCAGCATATAAAATTTGAACCAAATCCGTCAACCAATATTTGAATTATCAAAGATTACGTTTTTTTATGAAAAATAGCACCATTTTGAAATTCAGCCGCCATCTTGAAAATTCTTTCTTGAACAAATCTACTTTGTTCCTAGGCATCATCATATTAAATTTGAATCAAATCCATTCACTGGTATTTGAGTTATCAAAGATTACGTTTTTTTACCAAAAATGGCCGCCATTTTGAAATTCAGCCGCCATCTTGAAAATTTCTTCAGCATAGCTCCTTTGTCCCTAGGCATCAGAGTCAAAATTTGAACCGAATACGTCGACTTATATGTGAGTAATCAAAGATTCCAAAGAATTAAGCGGCCATATTGAAAATTCTTTCTGGAGCAGAGGTTCTATCACCATAAGCCTATAAAATCTGAATCGAATCCGTAAACCGGTATTTGAGTTATTGCCCGGACAAACGGACGGACGGATGGCTCTCCTATATCCCCCTCGAACTTTGTGTGGTGGGATAATGATACAGAGAATTATCACTTGCTGACATTTCTTAAGATATTCAAAATGGCTGCCATGACTGAGCCAACATGTCCAATACCTAATCAGATGTAGAATTAAGTGAGTTAAAGATGATGTATAGGTATCGAGTTGAAATTTTCTATACCACATCTGTATCTAAGTTATTCCTCAAAATTTGAAGATGATATCTGTCGTGGTTTTGGAGAAATAGACCAGTCAAACTAATGAAAAAATAAGCTTAACCCAAAACAAATTGCAATAGATTTCAGATTAGGTTAATTGTTTACATATCCATCTATTACAGCTATTAACCTTGAAACACATACTAAAAGTCTACCAAAATCGAAGTAGTGGAACAATGTTAAAAATTGAATCAAACCCCCTACCCCACCCCGTTTTTACCTTGATGAGGTCAACGAATGTCTCAAATCTAAAATCAGATTTGAACTTCTGTTAACTTGTAGATGATTTTGAAAAAAATTGGTCAAGTTGAAGCAAGTTGAAAAAAGAAATTTTTGACCTTTTTAAATTAGCTCACATGGTGAGGCATTTCTTCCACAAAGTCCACTCTAAATGTTTTTTGCATTTGGAAGTACATACAGGTATATGGAACTTAATTCAAAGAATAAACTACTTTTGTCACTGTACATGGGATGCTTACCTATCTAAATAGTTTGTAGTCATAAATACTATTCTGGCTTCACTGGATGCTACCCCATCAAGAGCATTCAACAAACCACTAAAAGTGAGTGGCCTCATACCTTGGTAGGCTGTGGGATCTGGAACATTCAACAAAGAGTTTATACAGGTTTTCATGTAAAACATAATTGTATCGTAGTTGTCTGCATAACATTTTTAAAACACTAATATGGAGTTATATGGGATGATTTAATCTTGACTGATGTTTTTAAGAAAAAGGAAGGTGCTTTGCAAATTGGTTCAGAGTGCTGACTACTGTAGATACATGTACAGTACACTTATTTTGACGCTTCCTAATCAACTCATACCCAAGACAACTCGTACCCAAGACAACTTGTACCCAAGACAACTCGTACCTAAGACAACTCACACCCAAGTCTATTTTCAGTATTATGGGTGCATATAAGGAAAACAAATTGAGTCTGCATAATAATGTTTTATTGTTATTATGTGAAGCAAATAAGCCTCAATATTTTTTCTGAATTTAGAAGACATTTTTTCTCAATGGATTAAGCAAAGCATTTTGTTTTAACTTGGATCACCTTTTTTAAATAAAAGAAGTGCTTTGAAAGGCTTGTTCTCAACTTTTTTTGTCATACATATATATAAATAAATATAATTATAACAGTAACTTTTCTACAAATGAATCAAACAATTAATTTAGCTAAGTGCATTTAGATAAAGTTAATAAGGGAAGTTTAATCTGTTAATTTCTTTTCCATTTTGAACTTAATTGGATTATATTTGAGCACATGCATACTGTACAAAGTGTATTATATCATGTATGAATAATATAATATTATTTAGAATATTTTATTGATAAATTTTATGAATGTGGCTTCTTAAGAATTAACATTCTTTAATCTGATAATATGAAATCCTAAATAGATCATCTGTTAAATAAGAAATTAAGCCCAAGTTTTGATAAATCTTTATATTTTTAATAATACCATCTTGAAGATCTGACACTTGTTCCAAACACTCATAAACATACAAAAATACCTCTAATATTTTGAACAATGAAAGGCCCGTAGCCAAGGGGGGCCAAATTTTTTTTCAAAATCATGCAGTTTTTCGAGTTGTCTTGAGTACGACTTGACTTGGGTACAAGTTGTCTTTGGTACGACTTGACCAGTTACCATTTTGACGCTACTTAATTTGACGGATTTGATCAATTTCAAATATTGGCTCTGATGCTCTATTCTCAGTTTACGTTTAACCAAAATATACCACAATATCTCTTTCAAAGTACAATTTAAACTTCCAACTGGAATTTCTCCAATTTCATTTTGAAAGCACATTGGAATCAAAGGCCAATATAGGCAGTTTTTTGACTGAATTTGGATATTTCATATTTTTGAATATGAATCATAATTGGTCATCTTATGCACTTGAAGCAAAATAATAAAATAATTAAAACAAGAATAGGTCCAGATACATGGGAAGATTTCTCATATTTGGAAGAATAACATCATGTATATAAGACAACTAATTCAATTCCATAAGACAAGTAACATTCAGTAACATTTTATCAACTTACTTTCTTTTGTCCAGTCCCTGTTATTAAAAGCAGCATCGATGTCTTCAAGAAGTATGATGCTTTGCTGAGGGGCAACACTTAGTAGATGATTCAGTCTGTCATCACTCAGTCCTCTTTCACTTAGGTTCAGAACACATATACTGTAGTCAAGTTCACCTAGGTGAATATAAATATAAAGCATTATTCCATGATGGTGAAATTCCCTGCAATCTGATTTGTGACTTTTAAATATATCTTGTATTTACACACACTTTCCACTATAGTGTTAGATACAGAGTGAAAATGACGTCAGTGTTGGGATACGGTCCAGTATCCCAACGCCCCAGATTTCCATCCAGGATATGACTATTACTGCAAAAATCAATGGCGATTAGTTTACAACAATGTGTTCTAATCTTTGCTTTATGGTAGATATATCTGATTTAAATATCAGGAAATGATACTGTGATCATCACAATTCATAATTTTAGGATAAAAAACATGCATCTGTAAAACACAGGCATCTTCAAATCAATTTGAAGCATGCACATTGTTTTCATGAACTAGTAAAAATCCAATATGGGAGCCAACAGTCGAAAAAAGTGTTTCGCTACACTGCACTTCTAGTTGATGAAATTGAAGAGAAAAGAGAAAAAATCAAACATACCGTATAAAACGATAAAAGCATACAACAAGGTCAAAAAGATTTTGAAGGAATATCTTCTATTTTCTGTATTGCACTTGAATCATTGAATAGAACCCCGGACAGGTTGAATGATGCAGTCATGTTTTTATTACTCTATATTTCCAATAGAACAACCATTTTCCAACCAATTTTCGTATTTGATTCCGGAAACAATTTCCAACATGGAAAAAAATATTTTAACAAAATTCCTAATTTTATGATTTTCATCGGCTTTTTTCAAAAAGATGCCACTACGGTCAATAAAATACAGGTTTTTGCTTGAACGGTAGATTTTGAAAAAGTTCAGTATGTTTTGCGGTAGATTATTGAAAAAATGGTACGTTTTTGGAGGTTTTTGAAAAATGTGGTCGTTTTACAGTAAATTTTGAAAAATGCGGTAGTTTTCCAGTAGATTTTTGAAAAAATGTGGTAGTTTTGTGGTAGATTTTTGAAAAACTAGATTTTGTAAAATGCGGTAGTTTTCCAGTAGATTTTGAAAAAATGTGGTAGATTTTTGAAAAAAGGGTAGTTTTGCGGGAGATTTTGAAAAATACCACATTTTGAAAAAATCTACTGCAAAAATACCCCAATTCAAAAAAACTACGGCAAATTTTTGGTCTTAGGTTGGCAGGTATGGTACTGTAGATGAAGATTTAAAATAATTTTTGATGAGGAAAAATAAAAATCAGCTTTACATTCGATTAAAGTTTTTGTTGATTGGATGGAGGAAACTACGCAGGGCTCTCACCAGGAAATATTTAGGGTGTGGTGCAAACATCTTCAGCATTACTGTTCAATCGTGATAAATCATATTTATGTTATACTGTATCCTTTTTAAATGCTATTATTGTATATTCAGTCAAGTTTAGACTGTGGAAACAATCATGATTTGCCAGTAGGGTGTGGTGGGAGCTAAATAGAGTGTGGTGCTGCGCCACAGTCTAAAAGCCTGGCGAGAGCCCTGCTACAAACGATATAGACTTGCAAAATGTGCAAAAAAGTGAAACGAATACAAAGTTATAACACTTTTTGTGAAGTGAGAAATCAAGACAAGAAAGGGATCATTGGAGAGCCATCCACAATGTCGAATGCCATGCAATCAACCACCAATGACAGACAGTAATATAATAAAACAAATATTTTACTCTACTTTCGGTTTTTCTAATTTTGTTTTAATATATTATTTGTACTTGTAATAATTATGGAACACATGTATGTCAGGATGTCAATGTCTTCCATAATATCCCTTATATACAAATGTATGACCCTTAAAATGAAACATGGTACTGCATTGTTCAAGTTCATGATAATCTTTGTTGATTGTTGCCTGGGATATACCTCCACTGAAAGTATATATACATTGTATACTCCAAATGCAACTTGTGAAGACAGGGGAAAGCAAGCTCAAGAGTTTGATACAAGACTGTACTGTTATTTACCTGTTAAAGCTTTATAGAGCAACTCAAAAGCTTGATGTGACCTCAAAAACCATAAAACATAAAACTATATCCCATATTATATAAAATAAGACTTTTTTTTGCATTTTACTTAAATAACTTATAGATAACTTACCTGCTAAAGCTGTAATAAAGCTGCTTTTTCCACAACCCGGAGGACCATGTAATAGATAGCCTCGTCTGTATGGTATCCCTCTATCCATATACCATGACTGATTGCCAGTAAATTCTTGCACATCCTTCAAAATAGCCTCCCCAATGCCAAGATCTAGCACTACAGAATCAATAGGTCTCTTCTGGCGAGGGTACCCAAACTGCCTCCACTCAGCACCCATAGCTGTATACATTAAAGTTTTACCTTCTTGGTTTATCAATGCAAGTTTCCTAGATTGTTCCAGAATATCGTAATACACCTGTCGCCTGCGTCCTATAGATGTCAATGTTACAGTCTCGAATGGAAGTCCAACTTGCATGTTAACCATTTGCTTCTCACGATTGCGCTCAACTCTGATGTAATGATTATTGTACCAGAAAAAATGAACTCCTGGACTCGGCACAAAATCAAACTTAGTAAGAATCTTGCCTGTTTCTTCTTGAGAAAATGTTGTTTCAACACTGATATGTTGTGTCCTCATTCCCTTTGTTTGTAACCACTGGAGCAACCAATTGTAACTTTTATCTTTACTTTGTACCTCTAGTGTTATCATACAGTGACGTCTAAACATCACCATTCCATATTGGCTTCCCTTACGTAAGAAAGCAAGGGCAGTTCCCACTCCGACAAGTCCAAACCCTGCACCAAAATATGGGTTATTTTGTAAAGATCCTATTAAGTCTGACATTCCCATTTTTGTGTTTAAATCAATTGTTCATCAAATGAATCGTTCATCACTTTGTTCTATCCTGAGTTCTCTAGAGATGACCTACAGTTCCCATACCTGCAAAATAATTGAATTAAGTACATTTCACAACCCATTGTACTGAAAAGCATTATACCAGTGCGTATTGTACCGAGAGGCATACAGAATGCCATAATACCGAAGCACATCATCTTGATTCACAAGGTTTCAGTTGTTCCTATGTGACTTGTAACATATATTTCTGCTTGAACATTTAGAAACATTACAAGCACAAAGTAATTGATAGACAAATCAGCAAACACATATATATTTAGAGTTTCCTTGGAGTAATTAATATGAATAGTTAGTGATACATGGTATTCATTAATTACAATTGACAAGCAACTCATAAAAGCACCACATAAGTTTTAAAATCACTTCAGGTCTCTTCGTATATACTATATGTTTGAAATAGGCTAGTATAGTTGTGAAATTAGTTATATTCACATGTGATGACAAAGTCAATCATGCTTCTACATGAAAGTCGAAACCCTGTTATAATCGTAATTCAACTAGCCCTTTGGGCTTTGTGGAATATGACTTATGAAAGATGCACAGGAGCTCATCGCTTTAATGATTTTTTAATGCACTCGTGACAAACATGTATGTCTTACAGATCTAACATTTGTTTAGTCATTAAATAAGCCCAGAATTGCAAAATTGTTTATCTTTGCTTTTTTATCCTTCATCATTCTACACTCAAATCATTTTTATTTGCTGGGGAATTCCAATGAGTCGTCTAAAGGGTGTCGCTATATTGCCATACTTAGATTGCATTACAACCTTGTCTTTATGGGTGTACTACTTTCCTCATTATCCACTTAGGAACCAGATAGTGTATCATCATCCACAAAATCGACCATGATGATAGAGGAAGAAAAGAGCCTTAAAATGCTTTTTATTTGAAACAAATCTTACAAATTTTCTAATGATCTAATTATGTTGTATATTCGTATTTTTCGTTTTTGTGGGTATCCGTTTTTTTCGACAGGGTACCAAGTTTGAACCAGAACAACGGCAACGCCAAAGCGTAGCGAATCCCATCGAACAGAAATGGCTGGCATTTTTACAAACGAATAGCAAATATCGTAAAACAACACACCAGAAAGGCCACCATTTTCAAAATGGTGGCCATTTTTCAAAATGGCCGACTACTCCCCAAAGTTTTATTAGACAATGTGCCATACTGTATTCACATATCAAATATGAACAAAATTGCTCTACTACTTTTCGAGTTATAGTAAAATACGTTAAAATGGCGGCCATTTTTCAAAATGACCGCCTTCTACCAAAAGTGTCATAGGACAGTGTGCCATGCTTATAGTATTCACATACCAAATATGAACAAAATCGCTCCACTACTTTTCGAGTTATAGTAAAATACGTTAAAATGGCGGCCATTTTTCAATTTTTTTCAAAATGGCCACCTTCTACCAAAAGTGTCTTTAGACAGTGTACAATGCTTATAGTATTCACATACCAAATATGAACAAAATCGCTCCACTATTTTTTGAGTTATAGCAAAAATCATAAAATGACGAGTAAAGGCCGCCATTTTTCAAGATGGCTGCCATGTGCTTCTTTAATATCTACATTTGTAGCATTATTAATGTCCTTTATAATTTTTTTACATTTAAAATATATTGATATAACAGTTTTACATATTGCACCTAAATTACTGTAAAATCGGCACTAAAATGGCCGCCATTTTGAAATGAGCGGCCATTTTGAAAATCGGCTTTCGAGCAGAACTTCTACCCCCATAAGGTATATGTGTACAAAATATGAACAAAATCGGGCCAACGGTATTTGAGTTATTGCCCGGACGGACGGACGGACGGACGGACGGACGGAGGCGTTCCCTATATCCCTCCGAACTTCGTTCGATGGGATAACAAGCATGGAGGATTTACTACCCAGTACCCAGTACCCATTTTTTTCTACAAACCCAATAAGCCCAATACCTTGGTGGATTATATGCTCACATGGTGAGCTATTGCAATCACTCACTTGTCCATCTGTCAGTCAACAATACAGGGTGTTCCAAAAGTAACAGGACTGGTGCTGGCATTTTGTTAAATATGCACCAATCGTATTCAAAATTTTACATAATGTACTTTCATGTATTGTCACTAAAATTGCAAAGTATCAACAAAATATAAGATACTCGGGTAGAGTTATGGTTGCTATAGTAACATGACATCACAATACTCGGGGCAACATTCCACACAGAAAGTTACAAGGACATGTAAGGCACTGAACGATACCATATACTTGTTTGTTTTGTTGTTGGTTAGGTAGCACGCCTGTGACGTCACAAACGATTGACAAGAATTTAAACCCTGCTTCAGTAAACTTGATTTCTTATTTTCAAGGACAATTTGGATACTTTTAATTCGGGTAGGCCTAAGGCCCAAGTATGTTAGCTTTTTTCGTTACGACAACATAATCTCAAAGATAGTCCATAAATTAATTTTTGAATGTGTTTTTGATCCTACCGGCGCCCGCCTGGGTCGCCTGCCCGCCTGTAAAATACAGGTAACCTTACTTTATTGTAGAGTCCCTCATTCTAGCAGAATTTTGGTCCCCAGCTGTTAGAAGGCCTTCTTACAGCTGGGGACCAAAATGCCACTGGAAGTAGGGACTCTGTTTAAGAAAATAATGTACCATCCTGCCATCAGAAAGGGATTTTTGTTATGCTTTGAATGGAACAAGTTTGAAGAAAAACGGTGCAGTATGAAACTCGTAAATCTTGATGTTCAAACATCCGGTAGGTCAAAATTCAAACTAACGGTCGAAGTTAGGACCGCGTGTTGCTCTAAATGATACAATTGTTTTTAAAAATTTGATAATGCAGACTGGTATGACTCATTTCTCAAAATCTCGAATGTTCAAAGAAAATCTGAATTTATTAATGCAATCGATGATAAAAAGTCTTTGAACCTCTATAAAAAGTTGAAATTTAATACAAATAAAGAGAAGTACCTCATGAACCATACAGACTTTTACACCTCGCGACTTAAGTTTCTGGCCAGAACAGGCTGCTTTAACCTTGAGGAAGATAGAAAAAGATGGAAAATAAGTAACGGTATTTGTAAATTATGTAACTTAAATGTTATAGATGATCCCACCCATCATTTCCTCCTCTGGCTCATTTCCAGAAACAAAGAACTGAATTTATAAATGATTTGAGTAATAAATGTGATGCTCCCGTTGTGTCTCAGTACCTAAATTTCCCCCCACAAATGAAATTAAAGTGGATTCTTGGGGATGATGTGTTTAGCATTTGGGGGCACGACAATGGCTGGAATTTTGATGTTTGTACAAAAAGATTTCTGAAAAACGTGTATGTGAAACATAACACAGCGTGATTTTAACCTATTTTAACGATTTTACTCAAAGCTTATGTCTCATATTCTTTTACGGATTTTAGTAAATGATGTATGGTTTGCATACTACTTGTATGTAATATTGACGCACCTCTGAGTGCCACTGTTATAAAAGTGATTGTCAAATAAATAACAAATAAATAAATATCTTTCTTACAAAAAGAAAAAATTGAAAAAACTGAATTGAAAATCGATCTATTTTCCTTTTTACTACAGCTTTTATTGTTTCAGACAATTTTTGTTAAATTTCAAAGATTGAAGAGAAGGGAAAGCCCCAGAGTTTTAAGATGACAGACATAATTCTCCATTTCGCGGTTCGCTGTTTGAATCAGAACGTTCGCAAATATATTCTGAAAAAGCACTCAAAAAGGACAAAATTTGATTGGTCAATATTTTCCCACTATGCATTTCGCGTAGCTATTTGCGTGACCCGAAAGTTCTAAATCAAACTAATTACGCAATTTTGTTTTTACACCCGCACGCTAAATAAAACAATGACACCATCTGAAGTATTCTTCTTTGTCATTGCTTTAATAGTCAGTATACCGAGTTTAATCAATAAAAGATAAATAGCTGTTATATTAAGATTAATAAGAGATCAATCGTTTCTAATAATTTTTTCTGTACTCTCGTACGGGAATATGAACGAATATATCGTTTGAAAAGTTGGTGTGAAAATCCCCATGTTAAACCTATGAGGGAAAACAAGGAAGTATAAATTTGTTCCTCCGCGAACTGCATCATGGGAAATATTTTGACCTTATAAGGAAAGATTTTCGCGTCTCCTCTTTTGAAGAGGGAACAACGATTTCGACAATTACCTCTCTTGCTTACCACCTTCGTTCGTTCGAATTTTCATCGGCTAGTTATCAAATATTACACTTCAATGGGATGTTTTAATTGACAAAGGCATATTCCGTACACCTTTCCTTATCTTGATGTGAAATGAGAAGCTATGATATTGGTTAACACGCCAGAAATGAACATAATATTATTCGAAGCATATTTCGAAAATTTTGAAACCGCCTATCGATCACGTCATTTGTTTGTCGACTTTTGACCAATCAGCGACGATGTCATCTCAATTCAGATTTACATTATAAGCGTATGTCATCTTTGAACCCTGGTGTTTCTCCCCCTCTGAAAGATTGTATAATTTAGAGCAATATATTGGACACATTTTCTGAAAAAATCAAAAGAATTGGCTAGAGGCTCGAGTATAGTCAAAACAGTTATGTTTGTGACAACTCTGAATTTAAAAAATATGCAATCAAATGACCATATTGAATCAGTTTATGAATAGAAACATTTATATTTATCCTAACTTTTGTATATTTCAGATAGTAATGTATAATGTGCAGCAAAGCTGTGGCCTTTTGTAATTTAGGGAGTTTCAGCCATGTTAATTTTTCCAAAAATAACATGGCAGAGAAGTATCAATATATTAGAGGACACAGATATGATAGCTACTACTTTTTGCAAGGCCTGACTTCGTCGCTAACATGCTAAATATAAGAGTTAGCTGACGTTTGGGAGTCTGACTTACCTTCTAAAGGTTAGAACCCGAATCTTAATGAAACCATATCACCTTTGTTGCGTCGATGATGATGCATAAACATAGCATTTGATAGAAATTAGTATAAATGCTTTTCCGACTTTTTCATTTTTCATCAATGTTGACTTTCGGGAAGGCGTTGTAGTTATCACGAAATAACGCATTGACCCTTGAACTTTACTTTGTTGACGTGTCAACCAAGCATGTCTGGTGTGAAAATTAAAAGAATATTAAGCAATGTTCTACATCCGCCAAGCTAAGTGAAGTAGCCAATATAAAATTACCAATTTCGAGTGAAGTACGCAACGAACGAAACTGCGTGATCTACAGTCCCACTATTTGTCTGAACGAAATGCTACGTAGAAATATGAGCCGTCTGCTGTATTAGTCAATTAATAGAGTAAGACCTGTTGGTGATGCTTTATAATTTAGACCAAAACATTGAAGAACGTACGAACCTGTAAATCGTGAAAACAACGAACAAATATTCGGTTTTCATATATGTTCGGTAATTTTTCGTATTGAAACTTCCGGAACTTACAAGGAAATCATTCATTTTCTCGGTCCATGATTTACCTCTTGGATGTTGTGGCAAATGCTCCATGGTTGACGGAACAAAGGTGATATGGTTTCATTAAGATTCGGGTTCTAACCTTTAGAAGGTAAGTCAGACTCCCAAACGTCAGCTAACTCTTATATTTAGCATGTTAGCGACGAAGTCAGGCCTTGCAAAAAGTAGTAAACTAGAAAACAAACTAAAATATACAAAAGTTAGGATAAATATAAATGTTTCTGTTTTTACATAAACTGTTTCAATATGGTCATTTGATTGCTTATTTTTTTAATTCAAAGTAGTCACAAACCATAGGAGACAGGTTACCTGAAAAGGAAGATAGATATCATTATCTCTTATCTAAACAAGGACTGAAACTGAGGCAAGTCTACCCTGGCTGAAATCAGCTCTGAAATAACAATTACTGCATGTCAAGCCGTCATTCAATGCTGATTTTGTAGAAAACAGATCTGTCCATCCTTCTACATGTGAGTTTTTCCCATAAAGATGCTTGATTAAGTAGAAATTCATCAAATTATACCCCTAGAATATCAAAGTTCAACTGTACATCAATCGCGTGAGGAAAAAAAACAAATCCATTTTTCACCTTCTGTTCACAAACCCTTCTTCTTCTTCTTGGAAAAGTTGTCCCTCATTTGACTAACAGCAAATGTGTATGTTTATGCAGCAATATATGTTAGTTTAGAAAATGATTAATTACAATCTTACCTGTACTTCACAGAAACATCCTAAGTATGAAAATATTTCACTAAAAATACATGCTTCCATTTTGTCACATGTTCATAATAATTTACATATTGACCATGTGATGTTGACAGGGAGTGTAAACGCACCTAGCGTACAGGAAATATGTTATGATATTTATTAAGAAATTAGGTATGGTAATCATTATTAATTAAGCATTAAGTATTAAGCCCCCAACCCACTTCTCAAAGTTCATGAAGTACCAAGGAAAGACCAAATATTAAATAAATTAGAAAAATTTGAATTTCCAAAAAAATCAAGTGGGCGATAATAGAGCCTCTGAAACATGGCAAAAGTGACATATTTTGTAATTTTCAATGCATACTCCCGATAATTATCTATCATTGTGTGCTTTCCACACCATATCAAACTAATATTATCTAAAAATAATGTATGTAATAAGTTAATGAAGGAAAAATTTAATGTTTCAGAGACTCTATTATCGCCCACTTGATTTTTTGGGAAATTCAAATTTTTCTAATTTATTTAATATTTGGTCTTTCCTTGGTACTTCATGAACTTTGTGAAGTGGGTTGGGGGCTTAATACTTAATGCTTAATTAATAATGATTACCATACCTAATTTCTTAATAAATATCATAACATATTTCCTGTACGCTAGGTGCGTTTACACTCCCTGTCAACATCACATGATCAATATTTAAATTATTATGAACATGTGACAAAATGGAAGCATGTATTTTTAGTGAAATATTTTCATACTTAGGATGTTTCTGTGAAGTACAGGTAAGATTGTAATTAATCATTTTCTAAACTAACATATATTGCTGCATAAACATACACATTTGCTGTTAGTCAAATGAGGGACAACTTTTCCAAGAAGAAGAAGAAGGGTTTGTGAACAGAAGGTGAAAAATGGATTTGTTTTTTTTCCTCACGCGATTGATGTACAGTTGAACTTCGATATTCTAGGGGTATAATTTGATGAATTTCTACTTAATCAAGCATCTTTATGGGAAAAACTCACATGTAGAAGGATGGACAGATCTGTTTTCTACAAAATCAGCATTGAATGACGGCTTGACATGCAGTAATTGTTATTTCAGAGCTGATTTCAGCCAGGGTAGACTTGCCTCAGTTTCAGTCCTTGTTTAGATAAGAGATAATGATATCTATCTTCCTTTTCAGGTAACCTGTCTCCTATGTCACAAACATTACTGTTTTGACTTTAGTCACTGTGATCTCATATCAAAGTGCTACAAGTTCCTGTGGAGGAGAGATGGTGCTGACTGTGGATATATACAGCAAGAACGAGATTGATACTTACCAAACGTAATCTATTTTATAATTTACAGTCTGTAACCATTGGTCAATTACCGACAGAAAACGTTTTTGAGAGGTGGTAAAATGCATACAAGGAGGCTGACATCTTGAATCTATCTAAATATAAAACTTTTAGAAATATTGAAACGAAATTAATAACGGAGTGGCTCCAGGACCGACAATTGTCGGTACTGGAGACTGTCCAGGGGTATTTGCTGGGGTACCGACAATTGTCGGCACTCTATCGTCAACTAGTAGTGCCAGATAGAGAACCGACAATTGTCGGTACGCAAGTGGCTGCTACGTGTTTTTGCTAGAGAGCCGACAATTTCATAAATAAATCCACTACTTTTACTTTCTGAAATAACCTCATCACTGATACCATAGTGGTTAGCGAGAAGGACTCGAACACACTCGGTCCCGAGTTCGAATCCCGGCAAGACCTATTTTTTTTCTTTGGGGGGGGGGGGGCATAGTGCTTCTTTTGCAGTATGGAATCGTACAGGCATTAACTTGTAGTGAGCCATAATTTATTTCGACAAAAATTGATTCAACTTCCATCAAAATTGTCCTACAAGCTTCAATTAAAAAACATTTTAAAGCTCTTTTCTTGTTCTATCTAATGGGTCGATATATACAGTTAGAGGAGGGGATGCTTTCGACCCCGTCGCTCTCTACCCTTACTACGCCATGGCACAGGAGAAATATCTCATTTGGAATATATCACTGTTTACTTTGCGTTTGATAGCTCTCTCATGCGAGATGGAATAGTGGCCATTAACTAAGGGAGCCAAATGCAACTTCCATCAAAAATTGTGCTATTGTCAAAATTGTGGTATGAGTACCGTAATCCAACACCAAATTCGAAAATTCATAACAATACTTTGCACATATGGCGTTCGTGACCAACTATGAAACACTTATCCCCCATAGTGTTATATATCAAAATGCACCTGTCCATATAGGGGTTCGATTGACCTACATCAAATTATTTGGAGTCAGGTTACTTTTTGTGATATCAGCGTCCGTTTATTGTAACTCGCGTTTGCTACCACTTCCTCAATTCTGATATGACGGGCAAACGCGTAGTAAACATGCTCACGTTCGGAACTATTTTGACCTACATCGCTATTTTCGTAATTCAAATGAAAGTTGAACTCCTCTTTATTTTGATACCAAATAGTGGCATACTAGGTACCCTAGAAGCCAACTATGGGTTATTTAGAACGATACCACGGGTTTTTAAATGGACTATATAGGCGGATGGATATGGAACCTCTCCCCGGGTTTTGCACTTGTTCCCGAAATATCCGTATGATATCTGAAATATCCCCCCGCGCATTGCGCATGCGCCAGAAAATTCGAAATCAATATTTGTCGGTCCTCTAGCGTGTAAACACAGCATATCTCCCGTACCGACAATTTATTTGTCGGTCCTCTAGCGTGCCACCACATCAGAGTCTAGAGTACCGACAATTGTCGGTACTCTAGCCTTTACGAATTAATAAATCTCAATATTATTATCATATCCTCCCAAAGTCAGCACCATCTATCTAATTTATCGCATCCTACGACCCCTTTAGATTGTGGTCGTAGGCCCGATTCATTAGTATGTGTTTCTACAATGTAGGAGAATGAACTATGCATTGCACACATAAATGACCTATTCGATACATTCCTGAGTATTTTAGAATTCTTTTCATATAGTTGAATCGCAAATTGTATGGGTTTATCGGCAGAACGAAGATATTTTCGTTTTTGATTGCAATATTTGCGTGTAGGTTCAACCGTCAAATTCCTCCATTCAGTTCCCGGCATGCACCAGTCATAAGGGAAATCCCTGGGGAATTCCCCTTCCGACATTTTGAAAATTGCTGAGATATTTCCGATGTAAAAACTAAAATCTCTTCGTTCTGACGATAAACCCATACAATTGGCGATCTAACAACATTAAAAGAATTTTAAAATACTCTGGAATGTATCGAGGTAGGTCATTTAATAGCGCAATGCGTAGTTCATTCTCCGACATTGTAGAAAGACAGGCTTTACGAATGAAACGGGCCTACGACCACAATCTAAAGGGGTCGTAGGATGCGATAACTATCTAATATCTAATATGATAGAATGAAGTCCGGTGACTTAGAAAAAAAGAAAATTCTAAATTATTTTTTTCTCATAATAGGGGCTTTGCTCAGTGATATTTCATGTTTATTCAGCTTTCATATTTTTGTAGGCAATCGTCAGAAGTTTTTTTGAACGATTTCTTGACGGTCTAAGCTACATTTTGACACTAAACTCAATAGGGGCTAAACATCTACTTTTTGAAATAATTGGTAACACTAATAATAATTTGTGACACTACCCCCTCTCTCAGTGCCGACAGAAATTAAAATTAACAAAACTGAAGGCAAAATAATACGCCACTTGACTCGAAATTTTCCTTCAGATAACCCAAATAAACGCATTTTCAGAAGAAATGGCATGTTGTCATTGCAAAAAGATGACAACTGTGCCTACATACTAGCTTACTGACTCGTCATGATCACAGTTGTGTTGGGACTACATACATTTTTGAAAACTACTTTTTTCTACTTTTTTTCTTAGCTTTAATTCCACTTGACAATATGCTGTGTTACTTTTTATTGCATTTAATTGTACGTTACTATTTAATTGAAATTTTGTAATGTTTATTTCATTGAAGAAATGGTTACCCTAATTGATAATTTTGTGCAAAAAAATTCACTAAATTTTCACAGGAAAGTAGTACATCATAACAGACTGACTTCTAGTCAGCCTGTTGGATACATCCATAAGCAGGGTTTTGGCCCGAAAAAGTAAGAAATTTGTGATTCAAGCTCAATATCTGCGATTTGCAAGCGATGCTGACCATGTTTTAACTTTTTAAGTATCAAAATAATGCTCAGAGTATTGAGACTCAACTGAAGTTAAAAAAAATAAGGTATAATATAGCCTACACCAACTTAATGATTATGACCTAACAAAAACGGGAGTCCAAACCGGAAATCAAAGAGTAACCGCACTTTCAGTCTAATATCTGAATATCTGAAGATTGATAATGCGTCACTGCGTATCCTCCGTAGGGTAATTTAAGCATGGATTGTTTTTCACATGACATATATAAAAATATATATTAACTGTATTTAAGATAAGTTCAGATATAATATTGGATTAATCATGTCAATATTTTACACTAGACGAAATGGCAGGCTGTTGACTGATATACATGTTTGCAAGATCACTTCATCTTGCTTCATCAAGCTTCGGACCTATCCTCAACGTAGTACATGCACTACTATGCGATCAAATTGGGTCGTGAATCACCACGGGGTCAACCCAGTTGTCTGAAACCCAGTTGTCCATAAACCAATTCCCCGAAACCCAGTTGTCCGAAACCCAGTTCTCCGAAAATTACAGCTTACAGCTGTATGAAGGAGCACTCTTTCATTGGCAAAGGGTGTATTTGAAAGTAAATTTCATCAAATGAACGATTCCTTTATGGCCTGGTATTTAATAAAACTGTCAAAAGATGAAAGTACAAGGGCATATACAGGTGATATAGATGTTCAGACAAAGTTAAATTATGTTATTCTCATTGCAAAGTGGCGTTTTTACACATAGGGGTGTACAATTTTTAAACCAATTTTCTTTATGGCCCATGGGCCTTTTTGAGAGGGAACAACATTTTTCCAATGTGTGATGGGCGTTTATAAAAGGGAAAATAGCTTTCCCAAGCCAGTGGGCATTTATTTAGTAAAGTTGACGTGTACATCTTTTGAAACCAAAACTTATTCTTTACTTACGTACTCTGTTCGAGAAATAAAGATTAAACTCAAAAGGATGAAGTGAGTACATGGCGAAAATGAAACTTCTTGCGAATGGGAGAAGATCGATTTTGATACGAGAACAGCCTGTCTTCGTTTCCAGTTGATCCCAAGTGATTAAGTTTAGAATGTTTTGTTATTATACGATTTGATAAGAGACACACGCGTGAGACAGAGACTAAGTATGGTTGGCTTACCCGCCCAAAGAATGCACGTGTAGTTAACGGGTGTGTAGGCGTTAATTACGCTCGTGCAGATGTAAAAGTACGCCCGTGCAGACGAAAAATTACGCCTGCGTAGGCGTAAATTGCGCCCGTGAAGAAGTAAATTCTACGGGCGTTCAGATAACATTTACAGGCGTGAGCTTACGGCGTTAAATATGGTAAGCCAACCTAACCAAAGTATCCACGTGTAGTTTACAGGTGTGTAGGCGTTAATTACGTCCGTGTAGACGTGAAATTACGCCCGTGACGTAATTTACGCCCGTGTAGGCGTTAATTACGCCTGTGTAGGAATGACAACTTTGACATGTTTTTAGATAAATGAGGACCTGCCTTATAAATATTGAGCTCCGATTCATTTACCAAACGCCAGATGGCGCTCTGATGGGGTAGGGAAGGAGAAAAATGACTTTTTATACATTAAACCAAATCACTAACGGTAACCGCTAGTTTCCTTACTCAGGACTATATTCTAATAGTACAACCATTTTGTTTGTTTTTCTTCAAAATGGTGCTATTTTTATTCTTGGCATTTTTCTGAACACAATGATATATGACAATGCTATATTGAAGCCAATACAAGGGGGAAATCAATATTTAAAGGCACAGGTCCTTTAAGCTAAATTCATATATTTTTGGTAACGAAATATCTTGTATTTTCTTTGGGGTAGGGGTGCACCATGTAAATTGGGGAGATGTTTCCTTACACTTAATCAAGTTGAATATAGTCATATAGGGTATCAATGGAAAGGTCCTTTACTCACCTTTATAATAATGCCCATTTTTGGGCATTTGCTAATATATTATGACGTCACAATTGCCCTTACAAAAAAGTTACACTCAAAACTGCCCTTGAAAACTGAATTTCACAGGAGACGGAATGGAGGGATATTATGCAAGGTTGACACACACCAAAAAAGCCTAATTAGGTAAAACAATATTATATGTTGTCATATGTGGTCCTATTGCTCCATAATTAAGCCTACCTTTACATTCTGCAGCATCAATGATTTCAGAAGCAGGTGACATCTATAATGCAGAAAATGAAGAAATTCTCAAACCTACCTGTTGTATAAAAAGGTACTACTGCCAATGGCCTCTCTAACTGCAAGGCTCTGGATGTACACTCTGGCAAAACAGACTCTGGCAACAGGTTCTGGCTTCAGGGTCTGTCTAGATGCAGGAATCTAGGGAGGTAACATAGAGATAATATTATAAATATCTACCAATGCATGCCAATGAGCTTAAGATTAAAAAAAATGAGATAAAAGCTCTTCATAGCATGCATACATAGACCAGATTAATAACTAGCAATGCTTTCCATTTCTTGTAACTATTGTATTAGTCTGGTAACTATTGTATAAGTTTTTTCAATTTCTCAATTTCAACTTTCAACTATGATGTCATAATGATCAATACAAATTGAATCAGTTTGTCCCGAGTGGATTTGAAATAAAGTGATTTCTAGCAAATAAATCTGTGTGTTATTTCAATTTGGATATACTACATATTACACAATGTCAAGAGAGTACACATAAAGGATTGGCTTACAAGAAAAGGCAGAGTCCTGCTGGTAAGAAGTCAAGATTTACAAAAGGACATGCACACATCAAACCATTTACCAAATCTAAACCTTTTTCAGGGGATCATTCCCATTCCATACCGGACACAATAGAGAGATTTGATGAAGATACATTCCGGAATGTCGCTACAACCAGCCGTGATAATCAACGCTATGAGAATCTCGATGTGAATATGAACTTTGGAAATGCCCGCCTGCTAAGACCGTGCTGGAAAGCAGATCTCACTAACACCATGGCCGAAGCACCTCCTGGTGCGACACCGAATGACTGTATTATCGTGAGTACGGCGCAAACACTTATCATGATAAACGATTTAAACAATGAACACAGAAAACATAGTATCGCGTGTGAAGGGAACTATAATATATCGCGAATCGCTTCATTTGGTTTGGGCACAAAATTAAAGTTTGCTTGTTCATCCTGCCATTTTCAATCAAAGTTGTACAAAACATATGATGAAGTAGACAATAGCTATTACAAAGGTAACATCAAGGGCCCTAGACCAGCAAAGACAAATGTTGCATTACAGGTAGCACTTAAGCAATCTTCCATTGATTCCAAGCAAGTTAGAAGAATTTTTGCTGCCCTAAATATCAAACCCCCAAGTAAAACTCATATGTTTCAAACAAGCAAAAAGGTAGATGAAAGAATAACAGAACTCTGTCAACAAGATATGAGCAAGCTAAGACAAAATCTCAAGGAAATAAATAAAATGAGAGGTGTAGCTGAACAAGATCAAAATAAAATAGCCGCTGCATTTGATGCTCAATATGGTTCCGTAAAATTTGGCTCTAGAAACAAACTTGGTCCAGATGCCAACAGGGCTATAGGGTTAACTGTTGAAACCATGACAGAAAATCTTGTAATCATTGATGCCGTTCTTCAAAATAAACTTTGTTGGAGGGGTTCGTATATGCGTGCAAGGGGATTCGATGTTAAGTGCCCAGGGGGGCATGAGGGCTGCACAGCAACCATCGAGAAAGCAGCGTCATTCAAAGAACGTCAAATGGGTCGATCTACAGCAAAGACATGCCAGGAAGACGGGATTGTTATTCAGTACCTCACAACAGATGGAGATGGGAAGGGAATCATGGGAGTCAATGATCACTATGCAGAGACAGGAATGGAACACAGAGCAGAGCGCCTCAGCGACCGCATTCACTTGAGTAATCTCCAATTCAAGCATTCCCTAAAGACCTCATTTTCAAGTCAGATGTTTCCGGGAAAAAACAAGTCAACTAAAGAACACTATCAGCGCCTATTTTGTATTGACCTAACCCAAAGATGCACCGCTATCCTTCGCAAACTTTCCCTCACTGATAGGGACCTCTCTAAAGTCTCCACTTTCAAAATCATCAAAATCACTGATTCTCTGATACAATGTTACCAAGGAAACCATACACTCTGTAAGCAAGACCTCAATGAATGTAAGGGGAGGAGGAGCAACAATAATTCTGCCTTGCAATTTGTATATGCATTTTTTTACCTTAAAAGCCGATCACTGATGTTTTGTTCCTTTTGTGATTACAGGTTGTTCCCCCTATTCGAACACAGCACTGGCAGACCTTTACACTGTACTCTCACAGGGCTACAGAATGCAACACCCTAGTAACTGCTCCACTGAACTGTAAGTGCAAACATTCAGAGATATTTATTATGTGGAATTGAGGAAGCATAAATGCCAACATTTGAAAGACGCAAAGTTGCAAACCACTATAAATGCTTTCAACAATATCAAATCAATATAAAAATGGAATTATGAGACAAAACACTTCGATCTCAAGTATTATATGTTCTTTCTTAAACTACCTATTATCTCTTTAGTTATTCATACTACTTCAGTTTGTCTTTAAACATAAAATCAATCTATACAATATTGACAAAATTATTTATGGCTTTCTTTTTGTATTTATTTACAGTTATGAGATGATGGTGCGTTGCTGGGACAATCGTCCAATGAACAGACCAACATTTCAACAGATACTTATTGAGCTTGAAATCATGCTGACCAAGGATAGAGATTATTTAGAGTTGGATAACATTGATATCCCCCTTGCTCAGAGCACCAGTAGCAGTCTTAATGACCTTGAGGAAACATTAAGTGACCTTGAAAATGACAATGTGCCTGGGTTGCCCCCGAAAAAGCAGTTGTTAAAACAGAAAACATCATCAGTTGGATCACATCATTCTGTCTCAACAGATCAGTAATTGAATAGCAGCAGTGAGATAGAGACATCTATACAGGGTGTTCCAAAAGTAATAGCACTGGTCTGGTACTGGTATTTTGTTAAATATGCACCAATCGTCTTCAAAATATTACATAATAATATACATTCATGTAGTGTAACTAAAACTGCAAAGTTTCGACAAACATGTTGAAACTTGGGCAGAGTTATAGTTGCTATGGTGACATGACATGACACTACCCGGGGCAAAATTCCATGCAGAAAGTTACAGAGACTCTTAAAGTTTTGTACATCCCATGCAACAACTGGTGGGAATTACATTTGCTTTACAACATTTTGCATTCCTATGAATCATCTACTTTGAAAAGTGGGCTCCTCTTTGGTCAGAACAAGAGAGGCACTCTGTATCTATTACTCAAACACATGAGTGAACCCATTTGAGGACATGTTACGCAGGGTTGATTGGACAATTTGGAGAAGGTCATTCTTATCTTTTAAGGTCTTATCACATTGATTAGCATTTCATTCTCCATATAAGTAAAACATAGATATTGCATGATCAGAAGAGTATGGTGCATGGTCTTAGACCTCAAGATCTAGCTCTTCTATAGCTGCAGTGGTCTTAAATGCTGACTTGCGGGTAGGTGCCTTATCAAGGTGGATGACTGGCTTCAAATTGGGTCTTCAAAAACTCAACCGTGAGTTGTGAAGACTGTTATACATAGTGATATTCCAGGATATTGAATAAATATTATTATTATGAGATCATACTCGAATCTGAGTTGTAAAGCATCATCAGTACAACAAACCAACTAATAAAACAAACAAGAAATGTTGTATTGTAAAAGGTGAATTAGATACTTTCTTCAATAATACAAAAATGTTAGATATCACATTTTCATGAAAAAGTTGCCCAGGGTATTGTGATGTCATGTTACTATAGTAACCATAACTCTACCCACAATTTATCATTTTTTCTGAAACTTTAAAATTTCTGTTGCAATACTTCAAAGTACGATTTGTGAAAATTTGAAACCACTCGATACAGAATTGACAAAATGCCAACACCAGTCCTGTTACTTTTGGAGCACCCTGTAGATATGGAAATTGACTATGCAACAATGAAAGAAAAACTACACCAAAATGAGCTCAACACAGATTTGATTGAGCATTCAAGGAATACCATTTGATATAAACATTTATTTATATAATTTATGACATTCAAGAAATTGCAACTAGGCCTACTGTAACATAACTTCTTGTTTGGAGAAGTCATGGAATCTAGATGTTTACTTTAATATAGATAGCATGACTCTAGTTTACTGAGAATTTATAAAAAGCATATACATCAAAAATATGTAAAAAGGCTGTAAATATTATATAATGAGATAATTATTTATATACATATTGTTGTTAGAGATAATATATATTGATTTTATCATATTGTGTTTATATGATCTCATCAACCAAAAGGTCAGCAATACTGATTTTTATGTGCAATCTATCTATTGTCAAAAACTGTTGTAAAACATTGACACTTGTACAGAGATTTTATTTTGTAATTCAACTGTGAGCAATAATTGTATTTAACTACTGCATGAACTGTACTATAACATGCATATTTTTATTCATACCATTGAGAGCAAAACTTTTATTGCAGAAAGATTAATTTGAAAATTAGTTGATGTAAATTATTTTTCAATACAGTAAAACCTGTCTAATCCGAACGCCATTGGGACAGGATAAAAGCATTCGGATTAGGAGGTGTTCACATTTCAAGGTTTCAAGGCATTCGCAATATTCTGGATTCTGAAGAAATGTGAACACATTCTCGGTAAATATTTATAGTTCGTTCGACCACATAGCTTTATGGCATTCCAGAAATTTGAAAATTTGATTCAAATGAATCTAGTCATGCTGGAAAGCCCCATTACCTGCATTATGAATGAGACCATTCAAGATTATTTCCCAAAGTTTTGATATCATGACAAAATTTGAACAATTTTGTATGAAACATCAGAAACTTTATGAAAAGTGTTCAGATTAGACAGGTGAATTTTTCAAATATGTCTGTTCACTGTTCAAATTGGGAGGTGTTCACATTTCAAGGTTTTTTTAACATGTGAGTCAATGGGAGGAATAAATGGGACCGAAAAAAAGTGTTAAGATTAGGAGGTGTTCGGATTAGCCAGGTGTTCAGATATACAGGTTCTACTGTACTAAAACCAAAGTTATACATGTACAGTCAAAGAATTTTAATTCACAAAGTGCAACTTGGAAAAATAAATTGTTATACAAATATGCCAATCACACTTTAATTAAGAAATATAGACCAAAGAGCAGGGCTACTAGTTTCGAATACACCCCGCAGGTCTAGGCACAAACATTTTCTGTACCCCGAATGACCGAAGGGAGTGAGGGGTTCGAAAGCTTTTGTGCATAGACCTAAGGCACCAGCGGATCTAGACAGGTGCGTGGGGGGTGCACGCCCCCCTAAAAAAACGGAAAATTCGTGTTTTGCCTCATCGCTTTTTACAAAATTTGACTCTTCACTCACAGTTATTATCACACACCCCCCCCCCCCCTAGCAAAAAATCCTGAATCTGCCAGTGTAAGGGGTGTATTCAAAACTAGTAGCCCTGCTCTGAGGTCTAATATTACGATTCGAACATGAAAACTCACCAGAATATTGCAAAATCGTCAATTTTGATGTTGATTTCCACTTTTTCATTTCTACTTCTGGTTGAGCGTTAGGCTATTCCAATTTGTTTACTTACCTCCTGACCCCGCTTTTTTATTTACATTTCGGCCTTTTTTATTGGTTTCATGCATATCTACTACATTGATAATTATTGAAATTAATTCTATATTGCCCAGAAACAAAAAAATCACAGCGGATATCCATATAAAAATTAAATTTTGCGAAAAGAATGGAACAGCCTGAACTGACCATTGAGCACTGAACGAAACACTAGTACAGAGCTGGGGCATTGATCTCGAATATAACCCAGCTGAAGCATTGACTTTGTTCACAGTTTATAGAAGGCGTGAATACAGTCATGTTCGAATGTCAAATAAATGTACTTATATTGTAGATAATATGTATTAATACTTTGGTATATTCAATAAATTATTTACCTGTTATAAAATGACAATTACTTCTCATTTAAAGAGTTGGCCAAAAACTTGACCACACTAGAACAAGACACAGGGTGAACAGTATCGCACCCTTGAATAGACAGTTTTTGGGACAGAAAGTTTGCCTTAGACTTACAGACAAGATGTCATGACAAAAATCCAAAATATACACAGAATGCTCAAAAGCTAACTAGACTTTCATACCAAGAAAGATCCCTGAAAATTTGAAATCGTCAAATGGTTAGCCTGGAAATGTGTAGACAAGAGTTTACAGACAAGGTTAATTGAAGATTTATCCAGAATGCCCTAAAACCTATCAGTTCAGGATTTTTATACAAAGAATCATCCCTGAAAATTTGAAATCAATCTGTCAAACGATTCGTTTTGGAACGCATAGACAAATAAGTGGGACGCTTAACCACCCATCCATTCAGCAAACTGAATAAACAGAAAAATCTTGAATAAATGACTGGAAATCTCTTCTATGGCTGTCATCAACTAGAAAAAAACAGCAACTCCCAAAATTAGCAAATCCCATCGAACAAAACATATTTTATCAAATTCCTCATCATTTTGAACATAGCATGCTAAAATAACTTATGAAGAATTTTTTCCTTTAGGCAAAATCTACTCATGATGTAGGAATCAAATCCATCAATCGGTATTTTGGGGAGTTATTGCCTGGACAGATCGACCAACAAACGGATGGACGGCTTTCTGTTATCTTTCTCGAACTTTGTTCAGCGGGACAATTACCAAGGTAAGGCTGACTATTACTTTCCGGATGAATATAGTACAATTTTTGAATATTTCAAATAATCCTCAATTTAATTTCATAAAGATGTCACTAGCATATACCAGTACAAAAAGGGGAATTCCCTTAAATGGATTCCATGATGGGAATCCATATTCCTTTCCTTAATTGTCTCTTGTTTCATATTTTTGGTCTAATTACCTTAGTTAAGACTAACCCTGTAACCATACTTTCAAATGAAATGTGGTGAATTTGTCTATCAACCAATTTCCCATGACTTTCAATGAACTAAACTTTCTTTTCTGATCTCTTTTCTCCAATAGACCTTAGAATTCACAAAGAGAAACAGTTTTCATAAACAGGTGAGTTATTTTGTTATTTTACTGTTATATATAAGCATTATATGGACAGGATTTGTATGTGTGGTCTGTGAACTCCCAGTGAGTCTGTGTAACTGAAAATCTTGGCAGGTGTTTATATAATAAACCTAAAAAGGCAAGATTTCATTGACTCACATAAAATAATGTAAATTTTGAGAACACTTAGGTTCAGCTGGAAAGTAACATTTTGGTAAAAAATTGCTATACCTGCACATGTTATTTTCTGGTACAAAATTAAGTATGAAGGCATGTACAGGGTGTCCAATAAATAAGGTGAAAGATAATGTAACTTTTTTAATATTGCACCAATCCTGATGAAATTTTAAGAGTTTGTAGATCAAACCTTTTTATCTTTATTCTGTTAATTTAAAGCGACTTCTATTTGATTGGCCAGAGTTGTGGTTGCTATAGCAACCGAAACAACAAAAAGGTGGGGCAAGTTTGTTTACGTCACAACTTTCCAAAACATATTTATTATATCTGATAGCTTTATTCATACTCCCAGGTCTATTACTACCACAAATACATTATAGAAACAGTCCTAAAGTCCCATTGTTATGAAAATAAGCTATTCAACATAATGTCTACCCTAGCTATACACTTCTTATGCCTATTCACCCACTCTCTAAACACACTTTCAAACCCATTCCGTTAAAAAACGTCCAGGAGAAAAGTTTCTGCTGCACTGTGACAATACCCCCTCACACACAGCTATGCTCACTAGTGAATCTATTAGGGCACTGGGATACCCCTTCTTGCACACCCTCCATATTCCCCAGACTTTGCACCCGATGACTTTTACTTATATGCAGAACTCAAGCGTGACTTGAGAGGAAATAAATTTGGAAGCACTGATGAACTCACATCACATGTCTTAGCAAGACTTCAGGAAATGGGCAAGAATGGGTTTGAAAGTGTGTTTAGAAAATGGGTGAATATGCATAAGACGTGTATAGCTAGAGATGGACATTATGTTGAATAGCTTATTTTCATAACAATGGGACTTAAGGACTGTTTTTATAATGTATTTGTGGTAGTAATAGACCTGGGAGTATAAATAAAGCTATCAGAAAGAATAAATATATTTTGGAAAGTTGTGACGTAAACTAACTTGCCCTGCCTTTTTGTTGTTTCGGTTGCTATAGCAACCACAACTCTAGCCAATCAAATAGAAGATGCTTTAAATTCACAGAATAAAGGTAAAAAAGTTTGGGCTACAAACTCTGGAAATTTCATTAAGATTGGTGCAATATTAAGAAAGTTATAATATCTTTCACCTTATTTATTGGACACCCTGTATGTATTTCCTTGCTTTTTTCAGGAAAGTATCATTACACTGTCTACTTTTAGTAAACCTGGAAACAGGTCAATGGTAGCTCCTGTGTTGTCTGGACACTTTGACAGAAAATTTGGAGAAATAGAAAGTGTGAAATATCAGAATTTCCTGGAGTTCCCATTGAACGCCTACCAGATATTCTGATATTTCACACTTTCTATTTTTCCAAATTTTCTTTCAAAGTTTCCAGACAACACAGGAGCTACCATTGTCCTGTTTCCAGGTTTACTAAAAGTAGACAATGTAATGATACTTTCTTGAAAAAAGCAAGGAAATACACACATGCCTTCATACTTAATTTTGTACCAGAAAATAACATGTGCAGGTATAGCAATTTTTTGCCAAAATGTTACTTTCCAGCTGAACCATCAGGGAGAATGGGTACTGAGCCATAACCAAAGGCTATTCACCATGATACAGAAGAAGGTCTTTTTGGGTGTAATAGATTTTTTCCTCAAACAATCACTCCTTCATAACTTCATATAATATTTTTTCCCATCACTGCAGACCCTATTTTATATATTCAAGAAGATAATGACTTATACATGAAAATTGTTTGTTCTGTTTGGATTGAAAACAGATGACAAGGATTTTCAAAGTAACCTGTGCCTTATGACTTATGAATTGTCTAAAATTACCCAATAAATGAATAAGATTGTGTACCAGAACGCTGGTACCAGGTCACCCAACTAGACCAGCCCATCTAGTGTAGCATAATGTTACATCTATCATTACTTTACACTGTTAATGTGAGGACAGCACTATTTTGAAAAAAGTTTCACATATCACATTCTGATTACATTGTAGGCTATTGGGTAAGACTACAATATAAGCCAAAGTCGTTTAAACTTCATATGGGGCCTTTAAAATCTTCTCTCTTTCAGAGAATGACACCGAAAATACAAGATTTACAAGTTTTACAAGATTTACAGTCTCCTGCTCTGAATAGAATACCTGAAACTGAAACTGAAACCGAAACCAAAACCACTGAAACTGAAACCACTTCTTTTGTTTAGTACAGGTCACATCTCTTGCATGTATTTTCAGCAGGCCTTTATATTTACTAAATAAATTCAAATGTTAAAACAAATGGTGAATGAAAGAGTATTTTTAGGTTTCCACAGGAGTTAGGAATATATTTTCTATTTCAAGTGTATTTACATAACAATGTAATATAACACATCCTATAATGTAGTACAATTTATAAACAGGAAACCGTGTAAGGGAATCAAACAGTATTTATACAGTACTTAACATGCTTATTGACTCACAGAGTACCAACTACAGTACAACAGTTAATTTGAATTTTAGACATACAGTAAAACCTGCATATAGTGAACAATTTTTCGCCAAGAAAAAATGTTCACTGTTGGTAGTTGTTCACTACAGCAATGATTTGATTTCGCGGCATTTTGCCATATTATATAAAGAGACCAGCTATTAAAAGAGAAGAGATTAATTTGTATTTTCTGACACTCTCGCCTTAAGTATTTGATTTGTTGTAATGTAATATACAAATGGACTTGACATTTGAGTCAGTTAAAGGACTTAATTAAATTAGTTAAAAGACATGATAGATGCAGTTAATAGTGAAATGATCATGAATTATAATTTGAATCCAATCTTTTTTTTAAATTGATGGGATGAGAAAAAGATTAAGTTGGTAATATAAGGTAATATCAAGGTAATATTAGTTTACCAGATTATCTCCAAGCAATCAATCCCAGAGGCGTATCCTGTGTTACAAAAACAAAGCTTATTAAGAATTATAATAAGTCACACCTGGTTCAATAAAAGAAATCCAGATCTCAAAATGACCTTTTAATTATTTTTGGCAGGTAATAGAAACATAAACTGCTTAACTCGGATAAGGCAGCTGCAGAGAAAATTTACGAGATTTAGTGTTCACTATTCATACAGTTGGTAGGTGTTCACTTTAGGATTGTACTTTAACATGGGAGTCAATGGGGGAAAAGGGTTTTGCAGAATAAAAAAACGTTTACTGTTGATAGATGTTAACTAGAGAGATGTGTTCACTAATTCAGGTTTTACTGTACCAGGTGTGTGAAAATCAAGGATTGTGAGTCTCATATACTGCATTGTCTGAATGTTTTCTTCAAACTTGTTCCATTCAAAGCAAAACAAAAATTCCTTTCTGTCGGTGCATTGCTTTATTGTACAGAGTCCCTCGTTTTAGTGGCGTTTGGGTCCCCAGCTATAAGAAGCGCTTCTCACAGCTGGGATGGATGGGTCGTGCGTGACGCAGCGCTTCGCAGATGGGGGAGCATTCCCCCAGAAAATTTTCAAAAGACCCTCTCTGGTGCATTCTGAGCATATCTCAGCACTATGTTCCCAATAATTAAAAAAATAGTACCGTGGGTACTGGGCTCACATGGTGTTGCTCAAAAGTGAAAGATGGCTAAAATGACAGAAAATATAAAAAAACGATATAATTTTTTGCTGATTTTTTTTAACAAAATAATTATTTCAAGCCGCTTGCCACTATTTGGACAGACTAAGAGACAGATAAATAAATCAATGTTAACTAAAATGGCTGAAAATAAAAAAATGGATATAACTTTTCGTTGATTTTTTTGTAACAAAATTATTTCATATATCTACTGTTTACAGTGACATGGCCTTTTGCAATGCAGGACACCTGAAATTATTTGTAAAGCCAGGAAGTGGGCCAAAATTGAATTTCGTGACACAAAAATGGCAACCATTTTGGAAATAGGCAAGCTTTTGAACCAAGAGTCATAGGAGAGTTTTTTGTACTGATGTTGAACAAAATTAACTTAGTACGGGAATCCTATCGACAGAGGGTTTAAGGCAAATGGTCCAAAAGTGGATTTTGCGAGACAGATGGGCAAATCAATGTTAACTAAAATGGCTGAAAATAAAAAAAAAGATATAATTTTTTGCCGATTTTTTCGTAACAAAATTATTTCATACATCTACCCTTTACATTGACATGGATTTTTACAATGTAGGACACTTGAAATTATTTGTAAAGCTAGGAAATAGGTCAAAAGTGAATTTCGCTAGACAAAAATGGCGGCCATTTTGAAAATAGGCGAGCTTTTGAACCAGGAGTCATAGAGAAGTTTTCTGTATTGATGTTGAACAGAAATAACTTAAAACAGGAATCCTATCGACAGAGGTTTTAAAACGTGCCACTGTTGTTGACGGGAAAGTGGATTTCGCGAGTCAGATGGACAAATCAATGTTAACTAAAATGGCTGAAAATAAAAAAATGGATATAATTTTTCGCTGATTTTTTTGTAACAAAATTATTTCATATATCTACTGTTTACATTGACATGGATTTTTAAAATGTAGGACACCTGAAATTATTTGTAAAGCTAGGAAATGGGTAAAAATTTCGCGAGACAAAATTGAAAATAGGCGAGCTTTTGAACCAGGAGTCATAGGGGAGTTTTCTGTATTGATGTTGAACAAAAATAACTAAAACGGGTCCTATTGACAGAGATTTTAAAATGGGCCAATTGTTGACAGACAGACTGACAGACAGACAGACAGATGGACGGAGGAACAGACGACAGACGGACAAGTGAGTGATTGCAATAGCTCACCCTTTGAGCTAAAAACGGCCACCATTTTTAAACGAGAGGCCATTTTAAAA